AAAATACTATGACTGACAGCAAAGAAGTTACACGAGTCATTTCTAGATTAAGTGCCAGAACTCTACATGTGTTTCAAATTACACTACAACACTGTACAACAAAGAAATATGCAGAAATTTTCCACTTGAAATGAAAGTTAAAAATTAAATGCTAGCAAAGCTCTAACAGACATGAAATCCAACCTCCTCATCTTAATTCGAAATTTAAAATGACTGAGCTGTCCTACACTAGGAAAAAAAAGGAATGAATCAATCCAGTTGTTCATTATAAAAAGCCCAGTGGGCTAAAACACATTTGTTGTATGTACAGACTTCCACAGCATGCTGATTTTGCTTCAGTACTTACCCTCACCTCTTAAAATGACGTTTTGCTTAGATTTAACTTTTAAATTATCAAAGTATATTACCTATCCTCATTAGATTAGTGTTCACCATTGAACTTTATTTTTGCATCATATTTAAACAAAACACTAATTAACTGGTGCTCCTAACAATGTGGTTATACATGAAAAAAAGGGAAGTCACATTTTTCCCTAAAGAAAAGCAAAGATTTTTTGGAGCAAACTCGATTTTTTATATACGTATGTGTATATTCAGGATATATCTCTCCAGACAAAGTTTAATAGGCAAACAATTTTATTTTAAGCAGCCCAGGCTTGACTTGATTACAAGGTCTGCACAAAAGTTCTCTGTTAAGGCAGGGAATTTTTAAGTGGAGTGCAAACAGAAATTTTTAATCTTACTTGTAAATTACCTCTATTTTGTGAGAATGGGCCTGGCACTGTGTTAAGGGCACGATCCACTTTGGATTATAAGAGACCGTTTCTAAACTTTGAGACATGAAGTTCACACATCTTTACCCAAAACGTTAATCACATAGGCAGATTTTTGATTTATACTCAGTTTTTAAGTAGCTTGTGTATGGCTCTTCCACAGCTGTAAATACTTGGTGTGAGAACGCTGTGTGGCCGCTCCTGCTAGCTGTACACGCTTACAATTAATGCCAAGAATGTCTTTGTATTTTTCAGGACCTCAAACAAACACCATTTTGATCCTCAGGGGTTTTTTGTTTTGTTTTGCTTCGGTTTGGTTTGGTTTTTTTTTTGTTTTTTTTTTTTAATCAAAACTACATAACAAACATACATTTTTAAAACAACAAACCTATTTCCTCCCCTATCCTGTTTTGGTCTTTCACTACTTAGCATGTCAGAGTTTGTTATATTTTTCATTTCTTTTGTTTTGCAGTAAGAAAAATCCAGACCTCCAACCACACAAATTCAGTCTGCTCAGCTAAAATATCAGAAGGAAAAAAAAAAAAAAGAAGAAAAAAAGACAGGCCTTTTTTACCCCTCTAGGAAAACCTGGAAGTAAAGCAATAGTGAGTCCCCGAGCATCCAGGCGCTCATGCTCACTCTCTGAACCACACACCTCCTCTCCCCAAAAGCCATGGTAGGTCACGCAGCCTTGCGATGACGTTGGCAGTTCAACAGATTTGGACTGATTTGAACCAAAAGATGAGCCTCCCCACTTTACTCAAACTACACCAACCTAACTGTTTCTGGTGACTACAGAAGTGCTAGTAGGGCCTTTGATAAGACAGGGCTCTCCAACCACGACTCCCATCGGCAGGCTGCCTTCAACTCCACCCAGAAACCACCAATATCCCAATGCACGTCACTGAACACTTCAGTCATTTAGAGTAGTGACCAAGTCACACAGACCCAGGACTATTAGCCATCATGGAGGGACAGGCAGCTATAGAGCCTTGCCTCCAGGACGGGTACGTGACAGTGACCCAAGACCCCACTTTTCTCCAAGGACAGCACCACAGGTTTAGGAGACGCTCTCATGCACGTCTTCTCCCCTTCTTCCTTCCAAGTCACATTTCCATTTGACAGCTGAGCCAGACATGCGCTGGCCACACAGGCTGAACACCCAAAGTGACCTTTGCCACCCCGATCAAACCATCACCAACCTTCAGTGTGGTTCAGGGGACCATCAGCCACTGAGGCTTCCTTGCAGGAACCCCCCAGGTGCGGGGTCAAGGGAACCTGTATCAGAGGCTGGCTCTGAGAAAGCTTCGCTCCCCCTGCCAGAAGGTTAAATACTGTCTACAAGTTAGTGCAATACATATTGCTCCCAGAAAGCCATATAATTCAGGATTATTGCCTACATTTCCTTATGTCCAGAACGCCAATCGTTTATGTTGAAAAAAAAAAAAAATCTATTTCTTTGTCATTCTCAGATTTCCAACACAATAGCAAAAAATGCATCATAAGGATGTTAATGCTTTTCTGTAGTACACAGAAAAAAAGAAAATTTACAGCCCCAAGAGAAACTGAAAACAAATTTCTCAAAACAGTTTGAACATAAATTTCCTTTTTTGCAAAACATGCAAAATCCATACAGAAGAGCAGTGGGAGGATGCAGAATCAAGTTTATTGGACTGCACACAAAGTTTTTTGTAAAGCCTAATGAACAAGTAAAATAAGTCATCTTAAAAAGCAATTTTTTTTTTTAATTATAAAAGATCCCTAACAAATATTCTAAATGTTCCCTTAAGGATTCACCCTTTTTCTTGCTCTTTGCTAGAAACCTTCTTGCCAGCTGTCTCCTTCATTACAGCAGTTTACTAAGAAAGAAAAGCTACACTGATGCTGAAACCTAAAGTGGGTCTTGCAGAAGGTAAGAGGTTAAGATGTGAACACTCAAAAAGCCCATTCTACTGAGTGTTTTGAAGATAATAAACTGTATCTTTTTTAAAAAAAAAAAAAGTCAATAAATTACACTACCAGAAGCGAATTCAAAGTCTCCAGGTTGGCAGTGTCTTTGCAATAATTCTGGCTCCAGAAGCTCAGATGATAATAGCCTGCACATTTGAGGGAATTGTTTAGCAGCAATAAATAGCCAGACTGCAAAATGATTAACGAGAACATGAAAAGCGGGAGAAACAAACAAACAAAAATTTAGATTTAACCCATCCTTATGAGTCCAAATGAAGAGGAAACAAAAAAAAAAAAACACTTTTGCAGGAGTGGCTAAGGTTGTGCCCAGCTCTCCTGCCTCACCCAGGCAGCTGTATGCAGCTGTACGCAGCTGTCTGAACCCCCCCCAGCAGGGCCTGGGGCACATTAGTTAAGCTTTCATCATCAACAGGAAATGCGCATGAGTTCATATAAACAGGGCAACACAAATACATAAGCAAATAGCCTCGAATAGTTTAAGGTATGTCAGACGCCCCATGGAATAGGGTCAGAGCTGTACCGGCTGGGAACCCACAGCATCGAGGTATTTGTTTTGGAATTGCAAACAGCCTCAGGACTCAGAAGAACTCTTCTGGTGGGCACCACCACCCACCCACGCACCTCCCCTTGCTACCACAGCCACCCACCACCCCTGCCGCTCTTAACCCTTTCATCGCCTCCAGAGCCAAGCCGAACAACCCTGGCGGTTCACGCTTGGAGGAGTAAAATGACGCATGTGTCCAAGTGTCTCCAAGAAAAGACTGCGAGCGTTGTTTGCAAACCCTGCTCCAAATACGCTCGCGCGCAGACGTTGCAACGCAACTGTAGTATTTAAAGGATTTTGTTTTGCAAGGTGTTGGGTTGCCTTCGAACCAGTGTCCCAGGCGGTTAGGTGGGATGGACACGGAGAGCACGGGGCTCCCGCCGGATCTGGACACCAGCACTCACCTTACGGGAGCACACGCGAAGGGACGGGGAGTCCTCCCTACACAAGTCATCTTTTTTCCCCCCCCCCACGCATTTTCATTTGTGATGAGGCTTAGGGCTGAGAGGGCCTCAAGGCTCCCCTCACATGGGAGGTCCCTCACAGCTGTGCTCCATCCAAACAGGCAGTGAAGGCTGAGTCTGGCTCTGCCCAAGTTGAAACTGCTAATTAATATTTGGTCTCAGAAGCTTGATATCAGGTAATAAAAGTTACAGGCATCAGGAGGACATAGAAACAATAAAAATGGAGACAACCTCCATTCCAGACATCCTTGAATTTTCTGAAGCACCATTAGGTTGCTTATTTACTTTAAAAAGTCTATCTACCTCTATCATTTTCTGGATGAGATACAATTTCTCCTGTGCCAGTGAACTAGATGGGATTCCTGTTTGTGTTTCAGTGGTCTCTGAAACTGCATACTAAAGTGCCTCAACTTTGTTCAGTACTTTGTGGCTTCAGTTTTCCCATATTGCACAGTCAAACCTAAACTGTTGGCTTTTAAACTCTTTCTTGCCTTGCCAGTCTGCAAGTTCATTCTGCCATGTAATTTTCCAGCCACCGTAAGTGCTGGTGACCTTGAAAGCTAGGCCACGACGAGCTGGGTGACACTCGCTATCCCAGTAGCTACGCGTTTTCAGGTGGCGTTTCAGCCACGAGCACGTCTCTGGAAAGCAGGCACATCACTTTGGGACTTCCCAGCCTCCATTACCCGGACACAGCAGGCTCCCAAGCTCCCTTCCAAACATGGCTGCACACCACGATGCCGCCAAGCTGCCGGACCAGCCCTGTATTCTGTTTTTTTCACAAAGTTAAGCTCTGTGCTTCATTTCTCACAAACGCAGTTTGACTGTAGACAGCAGTCGACAAGTAAATCTACCCTTTTCCATGGCAAACAGCCCAACTTTAATATTTTTACTGGCTTACAGCTGGGTAAATTAAGCCCCAGATTTTTATTTATTTATTTTTTAATACCGTGCAACTGAAAATGAACAGCTACTTCACTATGACTGCCAAGGACAACCTTAAAAACACTAATGCAATCCAGTCCAGCTCTCAATAGATCTATAAAGGCTAGAGGACCAAAAATTTCAGCTTATCCACCCAAACAAAATGTTGGTTGGGCAGGAAGTCTAGTATTTCGGTAAGATCCTTAAAAAAAAAAAAGAAAAAAGGAAAAGAAAAAAAACCCCTACGTGCTGGCAAACTGAAGATGGTAACAGTCCCAGCTATAATGCCATGAAATGGGAATTAAAACTTGCTGTGTTACTTACCCCAGCCTTCCCAGCATTTCAAGCTCTGGAACTTGTGGTCCATATGTCTCCACTTGCAGAGGCTGATACTCATACAAAGCTTCCTCTAGCTTTTGAATGGGAGCTAGTGAAATATGCTGACCCTGTTAAAAAAAAAAAAAAAAAAAAAAAAGTAAAACATTTCTACATATGAGGTCAAGGTTTTGTTTTGACTTTTTTTAAATGCAATGCAAGAACAAGCTTATACCATTAACCTGGTCCAGACGAAGACCATCCCATTAAGAACATGCTATCTACTATATCACTCATTTCTTCACGATTTAAATTTTTTACTGGGATCTACAGTTTGGAAGTAATGTTTCATTAGCTGTAACTGTTTGGACAAGGTAGGAAGGAAAGGGGAAAGTTTTATTGAAGGCAGGTTTACTGTTAGAGAGCTGCTTCCAGTGTCACTAGTAAAATTATTATTAGGTAAAAATTTCGTTTATCAGAAGTAATATCAAATAAATGTCTCTGAGCAAACCTATTTGATTCTGTAATCGATTTCCTGAAAGCCCTAATTAGAAAGGGAAGCCGCTCTCATTTCTCTCTGCAGGCTTTGTAAGCTCCCATACATAATGGCTCTCAAGACAGACTTTTACAGCGCAATACAATTAATTCATTCAGCAAATTCCCATTTGTTTCATAACTAAAAATATAGAAACACACAAACATCAAATTTTCATTCCAGATGGTACTTTTGCAAGCCCTTCAGACGACTGAGAAACTGAGCTCTCACAAAACAGGAGACTTGTGGTGGGAAAGGAGGGGTCGGGAGGATATGAGATAGAGCCAAAGTTAACAGATGTTGCTGCGTGACATTCTACACTGATTTGTTGATCTTTCACACAGTTTCAATTTTCTACTGTATTCTATGGTGCTCACAAAAATTAGCAGCAGCAGCAAAAAGACAGCACTGTGAGCTCCCCCAAAACAGCTTGGCTTCCCCCGCAGAAACTGAGCTTCACATCTGCAAAACACAGGAATTTAGGAAAGTAGTAGTATTGTTTTTGTAGACATTTTGTCTGCAACAGGAGATCGGAAGCTTTCCACGGTGTAATGCCGTATATAACCCTGGCTCCCACTGGTGATCACTTACTGAGCTTCACTTCCCTGGGGCCGCTCATGTAAGCATCTGATCCCTCAAGTGGAAACTAAAGGCTCCTGATCTGGGACACTGGGTTAAAATTAACTAGAGAGATAAAAAAAAGTCAGTAGAAGGGGAAAGCTGTTAATTAATTTGTGGTTGAGGACAGTGACCTTTCTGAATTTGGAGCATGGATATTTTTGTTTAGAGTTGCAGAAAATGGCTAAGAAAACTGAAGACGTCAGTCCTTGAGAAGTGCTATCACGGATCTAGGCCAATCTCTATGGAAATATCAGCAGCTCAAGTTTTCCATCGGAACGGCTGTGTGTGTGTGATGAAAACAGATAGTTCTGGGCTTCTTCTGCACTGCCGGGGCGCGTGGCGGGGCTGCTGCTAACACTGGTACGGTGACAGCGTCCTGAAGGCGAAACGTGGTGAAGAAAGTTCTCGAGTCAGCCATGAGTCGCTCCAACTTTCACAGTTAGCATACTGTTATTTCTGTGCCACAAACTATTGCTGCAACATTAAAACCAGGCAACCACACATTTAAAAAAAAAAAAAAAAAAAAAAAAGAAGGGAAAAAAAAGTCAAGAATTCAGCTTTAATCCCACTTGATGATGTTTTAAGATACAAACGCAGGGTCTTTTTATATTGCTAGAAGTTGCCAATTTACAATCTGTTCAGGTTCATGAAAATATTATACTTTGGAGCTACATTCACGTGGGCATGTTACACCCATTGTAAGAGATTAACGTTTAAATACGACTTTTAGATTTATATTTTAACAATATCTTTGTCTCTAACCAAACCAAGGGGAAAGACATGTCAATATTTCACATGTGTACACCCTCATCTGGTGAGTGAAAAGTCTCAGTCTTTCCAAATCCAGAGCAATTTTATTCTAGCCATAGAAAAGAAAATTCAGTTTCAGGCAAAGATCAAAACCGTGATAAATATTTTGGGAAATTACTTGTGCATGGAAAAAAGGAGCAGCTCAGATTGCAGAAGCCACATCTCTGGAGGGCACCACCGGAACAGCTGCTCGCTGTTAGCAGAGTTGCCACTGGTGCATTCCTAACACTTTTTTAACGAGAGTGACTTCTACCAACATTGGCCGAGAGACACAGGAAAGCTCCCAACAAACAGACCGGGCTCATCACCAGCCTCTTTCCCCATCACCGTTTTTGCTGCTACAGATGCCCATCTCTGTGTCTGGGGACTCCTGGGAGGATAGGATGAAAATGTTTTGTTTGTCTTCCTCTCTCTGTGAGGTTCCCAAGGTGCCAGAAGGGATCATGATGGTCATTTACTGTCCCATGGTCAAGGGAGCTGCCTATGAACGGTGGGGAGGCTGACTGGGCAGCACGCCAGCAGTATGGTGGGCACTGGTGAATGCGTCATGGGGAAGCCACCAAGCTGTGCCAGGACCTTTCTGTGAGGTATTTCTGTATTGCAAAAAACAGTGCACTGTGGTGGCCCAGAGAGCAGAACAGCGGAAGAGGAGCAGCATACAGAAACTGTCCATCCTTGAGCTGGTCTGACCTCATGTCCAGCACGGGCCAGGACATTTTGTGTTCCTGTACGAAGCCCAGGGACTGGCAGTTCAGCCAGAGCTCCTTCTTTTGAAAGGCGTCCAATCTAGACTTAAAGATTTCAGATCATAAAGGTCTAGGCACATCCCCTAGGTAAGTTGTTCCACTAGTTAATTATCGTCACCATTAAATATTGGCAGCTCACTTCTGGTTCATCAAGATCAGTTTCAAAGCACTGGCTCTCTCCTACATCTTTCTCACCTATATATTGGGCCAAGGTGCAAGCGTTAGGAACCAGTACGTACCCTTGCATGACAAAACAACTGCACTGGTTTGTGTCCAGCCAGCAGATCTGCACCTCAAGGAGATTGTGCAGCTGTATGACACAGGTCAGTTGTTTTCGTTTCCCCAAAATCACAACTTCAGCTGATGGGCTTTGGCAACATGGATTACATTCCACTTAGCAATGGGAGAGCAAAAAAAGAGAAAAAAAAAAAAAAACAACACGAAACAAAACCCACAACCGGCTGTTGTTTCTGCCCTATAGCTGTGTGGCCTTTAAGTCAAGGCTTTTTCCCATAAACTGGATTTTTGCCTGCCTTGATTTGGGAAAGGGTTAGATGGAAGCATGAGTGTTAGAACATACATTCCCACCTGAAAGGGGCTGAAGCCTGGTCAAGCCCTGCAACCACATCAGCTCTGTAGATATTCTGGATATGAACAGGCTGTATCTACACCGCCGACTCCTTGCAGTGCAAGTACAGCGGTGTGGCCACGCAGGCTCCTGAGCTCGTGGGCTGCCAACTTGTTTAGCCCTGTGCAGATTACAGTGCGGTCACAACACCGAGTACGGCACACATCGGTGCACAAAGGTTGGGACGGAAACCTATGAAAACTTAACAGTGAAAAGTGTTGCCTTTCCTATTTCCACTGATGTTGGGACAAGGTGCATTTACAAAAATTCTTGTTGAAGTTAAAAGGCTCAATTTGACAAATACTATCTCATTTAAAAGCCATCTGACCAGTAGTATCTCAGTTTTGGCTCTCTGTCCTGAGTGGTCCCTAGCCATTTCATAAAAGACTGGTATAAAAGGGAAGCCATTGTGTAACTTCAGAGACATCACAAGAGACAATAACTGTTACTTAGGACTTACACAGCACTTTTACAATCCAGAAAACATTTCACGTCTATGAGGTAAGATTTTTAAGATTTCCTGTATTCCACCTAGACAGCCAGCCTTACCTCTTTCCAGCATTGGGAGGCATTTATCAGCATGCTAAAACCAAACTGAAAGCAGCGGGTCCAAGGTCCTGCTTTTGCATTGCTTTCTCCTGACAAACCTAGGATCTGACGTTGTGGTCATGGGTAAGTATTTCTAATTCCCCTCGGATGCTGTAATGTTTGTGTAAAACAAGCTGACAGTATCCAAATGGAGATAGAAAAGGCTTCCAAGAACAGAGACAACACATTTTCCTGCCTCTTCGCCCTCCCACCCCTATCTTCGTGGCATATGAGTTTTTTCTCCGGGATTATTTTAGGCACTGTAGCTGTCCATTACGTTTTGGAATGTATGGAACCACAAAACACACTGCTAATTAGAAGGAAGGCATTTGCTTATCCTTATGACTTTGTTTATGTAAAAGACTGCACAGCAATGGATTTGTGAGCAACTGACTTTCCATTCATGTCCTGTATGGTTTCAGATGAGAGAAATGCAGGATTAAAGGCCGGGGGGGGTGTTAAATAATGTCTTTGCATTACAAATAAAACCGACGGGCTGCTTTACTTTTCACTATCCTAGATACGCTGTTTGACACATGCCTCAGTTTAAATAATAAGAAAGAAAAGCAGTAGCCAATTTCTGTATCAGACTGTAATACAACATGGCATTAAGAAAAAAAAAAGCCATGGATTATATACAGAGAAGAGCTGCCTTTGCAGTGACGAGGAGCTTATTTTAAACAAAAACAACGTCCTTTTAGGAAAAGTCGCAGCTATTAGAGCATCAAAATTATAGCGCATCAGTGCACCTTTCACACAGGGGTTTGGGGAGGGACTCTTGGCAAGTGCCAGGTACATCAGCATTTGCCTGCTAGCAGAAAGAGGTTATTTTAGCACACAGAGTCCAGAAACATCAGCTCAAGGTGCAGCGTTCACACTTCTTCCCATCCTGTCGTCTCTCCCTTTCCCTGTCTCCAAAACAACATTGCCTTCCTTCACCTCCTTCCCTCGGCAGCAAAAAGAAAATAACAACTGACAGTCTTCTCAGAAATCTCTCAAGTGCCAAGGAGGAGGAGAAAGGAGACTGACACCAAAAATGCACTAGCAGGGGAAAGAGGAGGAACAGCTATGCCACAAAAACATCCCGAGGCAAGAGACAGAAGCCAGAGATTGGGGTCAGTAAAACTTGTCCAGACAAAGCATGTTTCTGTACTGGAAGCGGCTGGACTAGATGATCTCGCCAATCTTTCTGCTTTTTTAATT